TACTACTTTTTTTAAAACTCTTGTCCGTTTTTTTGATAGTTTGTAATTACATAGTAATTCAACAAAGAGTAAAAAGCGGAAATTAATTATTAAAAAAGTAGTATATTGAAAGTAGCAAGTAGATATGCAATTTGTCAAATTTTAATTGAATGAATAGAAAAGATTTAATTGTATTGTTATATTATGCAAAGAATTAATCTCATCGACCATCCAATTCACGGAATGGTATTTATTGTGAATAATTTGGCCTACGTATATACATTTCTTTTTTAATATTGTCAAAATATTTTTTTGTTTAAATAAATAAATAAATATATATATATATATATATATATATATTAAATAAAAGGACAAAAAAATAAAATTGAATTATACGAATCGAAAAAAGGAAGTGAGATAATAAATATCAGATAAAAGATAGTATAATAAAAAAAGGTAAATTGATAGAAGGATTTTTTTACAAAAGATTTAAAGATTTACGATGAATTATTAAAAGGAATCGAAGAAATTGATTTTTGTTGTTAGAAAAGGCTGATATTATTAGTAGTAGCGTTGTTAATACTAAAAAAAAACTAAATTATTGAAATATAAATAATCTTTTTAGTTTTTTTTTTTGTGATTTGTTAAATTTGCTATGAAATATATAAAGGAGTCAAGAAAAAAATAATAATTATCTCTCCTGGATTGTTTTTTTTAAAAGATATATTATGAGTATATAAACCTATACACTGGCCAAAGTCAACTGACGGATTGAATAGTAATTGCCACTTTTTTTTATTTGTCTGAGGATTAACATTATTATGATTGTTGATTATCGTTGTAATGATTTGAATCGTTGTTTTTTATTCGTTGTCGTTGTTATTTTTTGTGAATAGAATTGATTTCCTCTTTTCAATATTTTTAAAAGCGACTACTACTAATAAAAATGAAACCGCTATATATATATAAAGAAAAGAAAAGAAAAGAAAAGAAAAGAAAAGAAAAAGGAATCAAATAGTATAAAATTAAAGATTAAACGTGATTTAATAAATAAAATAGAGACTTGATTGATCTATTAATTGAATGTGAATATGAATGAAATAATAAACATTGATAATCCTTAACAAAAAAAAACAAAAGAAATGGCTTAATTACGAGTCCGCCTCACATATTTTAAGGTGGATATCAATGGATTCTTTTTTTATAATGATAAATTATAAAAAAAAAATAATTGATGGTTGATCTATTCGCTCTTTCTCCTCTCTTCTTTCTAGGAATGGATTTTTTAGAACCAATTTAATTTAACCAATAAATAACAATTATCTAAAATATGAAAATAAAAAAATATACTAATCAAAAAAATAATAAAATAAATATCCAAAGTAGCACCAAATAAATATCTCGTGATTGACAGGCCTTTAATGGTGATATAGGTTAATATACTCAATATCTGATTTATAAAATAAATAAAAAAAATAAAGTAAAAAATAAAAAATGGTTGATTGTTGTAATTGTTGACTATTGTTAATTAAAGGTGATTTCTGTTGTTTTATTATTATAGAGTTTTATAATTTTTTGTTTATTTCGTCTATATATATATAGTAAATGCGTTTTGATATCTTTAACAAAAGTAAACAAAAAGTTAATTAATTATAATGATTTTTTGAAGTATTATTGAAACCAAAGAAAAGGTTACCTGTGGCGAATTCATTAATACGATAATTGGTTCGAAAGCATATTACATTGTGTATATGTTTTATTATTTACATGGTGAGATTGATTTTACTGTAATAAATAAAAACACCTCTTTTGGAGAAAATAAGAGGGAAGAAAAGAATGAATATACTTGATAAGCTAGAGAGAAGAGAGAAGAGAGTATATAGTAAAAAAAAAAAATATGAACATAATAATTTTTAATACGACATTATTATGCTATTTTTTTTTTTTTTTGGGATAAAAAAGCTTTTAAATAACAAAATTTTGACGTTGTACGAGTGTAGATCTATATATATTAAGCTAACATAAGTTGGTCATGCGATAAGTCGGTTTTGACCTAACTCGGCCAAAATTTTATTTTCACGTAATAATTGATCTATACAGTGATCTACAACCTGGAATTTTTTTAATAAATATAAATATACGCAACGTTTTTTTTTTCTAAAGTATAAATAATAGTTGGTGATGTTTTGAGCATAGTGGAAGTTTGTTGTTACATGAAACGTTATACAGAACTCATTGCTTCTGAAACTTCGCCAGTATATAGTTGTTACCTCTCTAAATTGGAGATCAAGTTCAGATCCAATTCAAATCCAGTTTATCACTTACTTTTTATTGCCAGAATGTTTGCCGTGTATTGTAAAGCTACGCTGCACAATATAAAAAATTAGTGTGACATTTCAAGTTTTCACTATGCTGATGTTTTGTACAAGTAAATACTTTTAATTGGATGCTTCATTATTTAGATAAAAAAAAAAGATTGAAACTTTAAATTTATTTATTTTGATGATTTAATATATATAATAATATAAAAATAATAATAGTTTCTGGAGAAGTGCCTGAAGAACCTGTGGTTTCCAAAAAGTCAGAACAACTTTATGAAAAAAGGTTGATTATCAAATATATAGATGAAACTGGAAAGGAGCCTGTGACTAATGAGGATTTATCCGAAGAAGATCTATTAGGAGTAAAAACAAGTAAGTTTTTTTTTGGAAGAAAAAATTTTGATGAATAAATAAATATTTATACCAGATGTTTGAATGAATGGTAGTTATGATGATATCAACTATTAAGTAAACAACTAGAAGCTGTTTCTGACCTATTTTTGATATGATTTAGAAATTTATCTGAACTCTATAATTTGTTATGTTATATATATATATAATATAAAATCTATATATATATTACTTATCATTCATTTAATTGTAAAAAAATTTTTTTCTTAATAATAATCAGATACAAAAATAGTAAAACCTCGTCCACAAACCTTTTCTTCCATACCATCATTGTTGACAGCTTTTCAAAATGAATGGGGATAGTTTAATGTTAGAATCTTTTACTTTGAAACGAAAATATCAAGAAGCACAACAAGAATTGAGCCATGCTTTGTTTCAATATGATGCAGCTTGTTGAGTGATTGCCAGAACCATTAAAGAAAGGGATGTTGCAAGAGAGTATGTTTTTTAAAAAAAATTTTAATTCATTAACTAAGCAAGCTTTATAATTGTTGATTATATTTAATTTTAAAATTTTATTTTAAAAAAAAACAAAAAAAGTGCATTAGCAAATATCAAATCTCATATTGAAATTCAACCACCTGCAGATACATCTACATCTGAGACACAAAAGATGCAGGTTGATGAGGAAAAAGGCATAGGTAGTTCAATCATTGAAAAATTAGTAGAAGCCAGTGTAGTGTATGTAATTTCTATTAACTAATTATCATTTGATTCTAAAAAAAAAAAAAAATATATATGTGCATTCTAAAATTAAACTATACTTGATTAAAAAAAAATTTTTTAAATTAGTTTATCAAAGGGATGTAAAAAAAGAAAACCACCACCAAGCCTTACACCTGCTGATACAATCAAAACATTTACTCAAATTTCTACAATTCCGGCCTTACACAACTCCTCAACGTCTGGAATATTATGTATGGATTTAGATCAGACAGAAACAAAAATAGGAAAATTATTAAATTTACAAATGAAATCTCTAATTTTAAATTGGATTGATTATAAAAATGGTCTATATAATGAAAACAATATACCTTATGAATTTGAATTAATTCTTCAGGGTACTCAAGATGGATTCTCTAGATCTGTATTTGAGGATAAATGTTATAATATTAAACAAACTGTAGCCATTATGAAAATTAAAGATACAGGAGAATTGGTTGGTGGCTATAATCCAGTTTGTTGGAATATAAAAGAAAAGTCTCCTGATCATCAATATTGGATTGAAACAGATAAAAGTTTTATTTTCAAAATTGATGAAAATCAGATAAATAATTCAATATTAAGTAGAGTTATAGATCCAAAACATGCAATGTATCATGAAAAACAAAAGATTACCCAAACTATTGATAATATATAATTTCATGAAGAAACTATAAATTTTCAGGGAATACAACTATATAACAATATTAATAATGAACCTTATTGTTGTTATGATTATTATTATAATTTCTTGGATTCTTATGCGAATGATTTAAATTTAGAAATAAAAAATAGAAAAATTCATTTGATAAAAGAATGTGAAATCTATAGAATACTAAAAACAAATTAATTATTAATTATACATATATTATTATTATTAAATTTATAAAATAAATTCATGCTTCTAGATGTAAGGCTTGGAATTAATCAATGAAATTCAAATCTAATTAAAATATATGAAATAACTTGAATTTGCATTTTCCATCCTACAACTGTGAAATGGCTCCGCATTTCACTTCTTTGAACACATTCCACTATGCCTGATGAAGAAGTAATTGAAGAGGCATCATTTTCAACAATGTTTTATTTGTTTATTCATTTTGTTTATTTTATTTGTTTTATTCATTTATTCAAATTATTTGTTATTCAAATGATAACTCTAAGTTGAGCAAGCTCAAAATTTGAATTTCAAGTTTGAGCTGAGTTCAAGAAAATAGGCTCTTAAATTGTTTTTGTCCATAAATAAATATGAATAGTAAATTAATCATTACCTAAAAAAAATTAATGCAACATCAAACTCGAGCTCAGCTGATTTAGAGCTTTACTAATGGCATTACAACAATTAAAAAATCCATGCTTATAATTATGAAAGAGATGGCTTGGAATTAGATGAAATTGATATTTGGGATATTGTCATTCAATCGGGGAAATGAGAAATCAGACAAAAACATTTTATTGTGTTGAAAAATAAAATAGAAGATATTATCATCCCTCTTTTCAAATGATTTTTCTGTTTAATATATTGTCACATTCACCTTCTTACTAAAATTCCATATTCTTTTCACTACTTTTGTAATATATAGTATTAAAGACATTATAGATCTTACAATCATTAATCACAGGATCAAAATCTGCTTCTTTATAATAATAATAATAATAATAGTAATAGAAATTTCAACTCAGATATCAAAACAGATAAATTTAAAAATTACCTTCAATTTATCAATTGTTTTATAATTCATTTTTGATCATCATCACTACTATTAAAAAAGAAAGGTTCATTTAATCAAAATAATTTTATTTCTTTTTTCTTTTGACTGTTGACTTACCATCATGAACAAAATTAACAAATAAAGATGTGTTTGTTTCAGCATTAGCTATATATGTGGTATGATGCTGACTCAGCTTCTATCAGTTGTGGGATGACTTGTTTCACTGTAATGAAATCTTTCTTTGGTAATTTCACATTTGATTAGCTCCAGAATCTTTTATTCTTTTTCTTTTTAGAATAATATTAAACCTTCAGTTGTGACAGTCCTTGAAAGTGCCTATACCAATATCATTCTCTTCCACAGATAATTTATGGCCATCATCTTTTTTACTATTGACAATAGTAGATTCGTTCTTTTTTTGGCTTTTGTTCTGTTCAGTTGTACAAACAGCTGTTAGGACGAAGATAAAGTTACTGTACTAGAAGTAATTGTGGAATCAGCAATAAATCATTATTTCATTTATGCTGGGGTCTTAAGGAGATTATTTCACTGATATAAAATTTTGTCAAATTAATTGGATCAAAAAAACATTTTTATCATGTAATACATGTAATATATAGTGAATTTAGTGAATTCATATTATACTCGTATTGTAGTATTTATTTTGTGGATTCAGCTACGGAATTAACTTTTTATCAATTTTCTTTAAATTTCCTTTTTAATATTAAGTCTTTAAAATGGTGAGTTAACATATAAACATAAAAATATATAAAATCTTATATACTTATGTAATTATCTTTATTAAAGAGCGATCCTATAGAATGTGCCCTAGATCTTATGAGACGTCTTCCACCACAAAAAACTGAAGGAAACCTTCTACAACTCATAGATCTTGTACCTCATCTTCATGAAGATATAATAAACGCTGTTGACCAACCTTTAAAAATTGGTAGATGTAAAAAAGAGGGAAAGGATTATATTTTATGTGCCTTTAACAAAGATGGAGAATCATATCGGTATAATAAATATTTTATATGTTAAAAAAAAAGTTTTTTCAAGACAGGATTTTTTGTTTATTATATATAATTTTTTAATAGCTCTCCTTGGTCAAATAAATATGACCCATATATCGATGATGCCATATTCCCATCTTCAAGAATACGTAAATTAGAAGTAGCTGCCAATGAGGCATTTAATACATATCGAGAGATGTAAAATAAGCTTCATATCTATCAATCATTTTTATTTCCATAAAATTACTCTATAATATCTAAATTTTGATAGGTACTATGAAGGTGGCGTTTCCTCAGCTTATTTTTGGGATGATCCTCCAGATGGGTTTTCCGGAGCTATACTATTTAAGAAAGGCAAAAAGAGAAACGTTTTTATTTATTTTATGTTCAAGTTATATTCACACACACACACACACATATATATATATGTTTTTTATAACTTTTTGTCATAAATTTTGTTAAATAGTTGGTGACGGCGTTCGTAAAATGAAAGGTGTATGGGACTCTATTCATGTCTTTAAAGCAAATGAGCGTGGTCGCAAAGCTCAATATAAATTAACATCTACTGTCATGCTTTATACAATTACAAATAAATCTGATCTTGGAAATATGAATTTATCTGGAAGTATGACAAGACAAGTAAGGCCAAAAATTTGTGATGTGTTCCAGGGCTGGCTGCATAACACCAAGTTTAGCCAAGACAATTATTACTAAATATGGATTTAACACCTTTATGCTGTCAGCCCTAATGTGTTCAAATATTTTTTATTTAAAGGCTTTTTTGATTCATTATAAATATAGTTTGAGGCAGAATATCCATTTGATGACCCCTCAGCACATATCGCAAATATTGGTCGTATGGTTGAAGACATTGAACTTAAAATGCGTAATTTGCTTCAAGAAGTTTATTTTAGTAAAACAAAAGATATAGTTAATGGTTTACGTTCAGTAAATTCCCTTATCGAAGCACAAAAACAAATGGAAGTTCAAAAGGAGTTGGTTGGGAAGTTATTAGAAAGAAAAGCATGAAATTTTATATACATTTTTATATATTATTATATTATATTTATTTATTAAAAAAGAAGTTATCTAGTTAACTAAAGATCAAGTAAATGACACGTTTGTATATGGAGCATTCTGTTACAAAACCGATAAGTAATAACAATATCAATTATTTTTAACATTAGTTGTTATAATTATTGAATTGTGTCATAAGATCTGTGATATTAGAGCTACCAGGAATTTGATTATGAAACTGTTGTAAATTTGGTGCAACATGTTGGGGTTGATGTTGAGGTAAAGGAAGAGTATTATTAGGCTGAGGAGGAGGCATAACATTTGGATTGTTAACATTATGCTGGTTAATCATTGAAGTATTAAAAGGCATAGTATTATGAGGGAACACTTGCGTATATCGTTGTTGATTTGGAGCATTTGCAGGCGCCAAATTTCCAAGTATTTGTTGTACATCAAAATTTTGTGGTTGTGCAGACATAAAACCTGGCTGATGTTGTAAATTGGTACCAGGTGAAACTACTTGAATGGGCTGTGTATTTTGGGGGACTGTTGGCTGCTGTTGCTGTTGCTGTTGTTGCTGTTGTAAACTACCAAGCAAATTAGCAAGTGCGGCAAAATTAACATTATTTAATGAAATTGGATTAATATTTAATGCATTTGGCTGTTCTATAATTGGGGCAGCCTTTTGTGTTTGAGGTAAAATTTGTTGCCCACCAGTTAACATATTGTTAGGGACCGATGAAACATGAGCTCGAGACAATAATCCAACTGCATCTTCTATTCTAATATTGTTATATTCTAATAATTTTTAATTTAAGTTAATAAATAGGTTCATCTACATTATTTATAATCAAAGTATTAAAAAGAGAAAAACTAACCATCATATTTTACATTATCTTGAGAACGTTGATGTTCAAAAATTTGCATATTAACCCTACCATTCATTATAAGGGCTCTTTCTAAAAAGACAACCGCATGCACGCCTTCTACAATCATTTGACGAACAACTGCTTGAATTTGAAGTTTTCTAGATAAATGAAGTGTGTGAACAGAGATCTTTGCTTCTCTGAAAGCATTCTCTGCTTGCCACAAATAATTCCTAAAAACAATTCATATATATAATAACGATCGATTGATTTTTAACAAACAATAAAAATCAATTAAAATTTTTAACAAACAATAAAAATCAATTAAAATTTTTAAGATACCAACCGATCAACTTCTTCAAGGACAATTATTTGACATTCTGGTACCGCATTGCCTTGCCTTCTAGGTAAAGGAAATTCATCATTAGCCTTGTCATGTAATTGTGACCTATTATCTCGACTTTGTTTTTGTTCTGAATAATCTCTATTAGGAACTCTATATGGTTTAGATCTATGGGAGTTTTTTTGGTCACGGTGATCCTCCCTATATGAATCACGGCTATGTCTTCTTTCATTGCCTTCCTTATTATAATGCCAATTATTATGGGTTTGAGTATGATGTCCTCTGGCGGGTGAATATTCTCTTTTGTTATTATTATGCCAATTATTTTTATTTCCGCCTCTTTGATTCCAACGTTTTTCATGATGATGCCCAAAATTATTTTTATGCCCAGTATCTTGATTTTGCGAACGGTGATGTAACTTACCATGAGAAACCTCCAATCCTATTATAAAATTAAATGATATATTAATTAATTAATGATTAATTTTATATATAAAATAAAAAAAACTTGCCTAATCTCAATCCATGTAAAATTCTTCCATTCTCTTTCTCGATTGCTTTTTTAATACTCTCAGTATTATCATATTGGATAAAACCAAAGCTATTTTTAATAGATATTTCAAAAATTTCTCCATAAGGAGAAAAGATGTCATAAAGCTCCTTTTTAGTAGTCGAATGAGTGGATAAATTTCCCAAAAATAAACGAGATCCTGGAGGCAGAGCTTGGAATCCAGCATCTGATAATTTACGCAAACTAAATGGGGCCTTATTATGATTATGATTATTAACATTGCTATTATTGGCATTATTATTATTATTATTATTATTATTATTATTATTATTATTATTATTATTATTATTATTATTATTATTATTATTATTTTCATCAGATTTTTCGTTTCCTATTTGGGAATTTGGAGAGCAATGATCACGAAACCTATGGTGATATTCTATATCAAAATTTTGATCAGTATTATCTAGATTATTAGTTTGGGTATTCCAATTAGGATTAGCAATATTGAAATTTGGTCGTTGTAAAGTTTGTTGTCCATGTTCAAAATTCATCGACTCTTCCTTATTATTATTATTACTATCACCTTGGTCATTATTATCATTATCATTATTATCATTATTATTAGAAATATTATTATTGTTATCATTATTATTAATGCTATTGATTCGAGATTCATAAAGGCCAGACTCATTTGAAGAAATATTTGTGTTGTTTTTAACTTCTTGAACATTGGAAGAAACAAGCTCCATATTATTACTTTCAATTTGAATATTGTCATTATCTTCATTTTTAGGTAGTGGTTCACTATTATTAATAGGTTCTTTTGCTTTTTCAATCATTTCTTGACTGGTGTTTTGATTTGGCGCATTAATATGAGTGGTTTGTTCATTTGATGATGGCAGCGATGATGAGTCAAGCAATGGATTTGTAGATGTATTTTCAAATACAGGGATTTGTAAAGGCACTATCTCTTCTTGGTTTTGGGTCGATTCTAAAGCTTCCATTCTTTGATAATTTGTATTAATAATCTTTTTATTGTTAACAGTTGGATTTTTTCAGTTAATAGAGGTTGTTGACTTGCATCACTAAATATATTATTATTATTATATAAAAAGTAATCATCTGCATAGTATTTGATCGACATTAAATTATTACTAATAATAATAAGAAAAATCAAAATTCATGATCGGGTTAATATAAAGAGATGGAGAATAAGATATTAATAATGACTTAATAGAAATAGTGAAAGTATAGTATAGATTTTGCGCCAGAGAGACCAAAGAATAGGTTGCAATTAATTGCTCTGGTATTTTTATTATTGTTGTTTAATCCTTCCTTTGTCCCCATATTGTTGTATCATATTCATCACAATGTTTATAATGGTTCCTTTAATTAACTAATTAAATCAGGCTTCTTGGAATTTTGAACCAGAAAAAGGACTGTTCTTGATAACTGTCACCCTTGAAATGTAGATCTTTTTTAAAATGTTATTTTCAGAGTTTCACGCGTTTCTATTGAAAAGCTCTCATGTAACAATAATTAGTCACTTAATTACTAACAATAATGTTTATTGTAGCATTAATGTTTGCTTAGACAGATCTATGGTTAAACGATGGATTATTGTTACGCAAACATCAAAAACATTCTAGTTGATATATATTATTAATGGGAACAGGTGATGAATGATACTATTATTATCAACGATTCATATTGTATATATAACACTGTATTAATCTTTGTTTTCTTCAAACGGATCCACAGTACGTAATATTATTACCTGCTACCCATTAATAATACCAACTAGAATATTTTTGATGGTCGCGTAACAATCATCCGTCGTCCAACCAACCATAAAAGAAAACAAACATTGATACAATACAATGTTATATATACAATAATTATCATTAGTAATATCAAATAGGGAATTTTGATATTGATGTCCTTGGTATTAGATATAGTGATAGTGATGCGATCTGCGGATATTCGTCATCCGTTCATCCGTCATTTACCTCTAAAAATTAATCCATACATCCGTTGGATTAATGGAAACTCGCATAATCAGTAGGATGGAACGTGTGATCCGGATGATTCACAGATTGAACGGACCAGGAAATTTTTAGAGGCATCAAATAACATAGAACAACCCTGCTCTTTTAACACCAAAAAAAATGTCAATCAAACAGATACTATGCAAACAAACGGCATTGAAATCCATGCGTAGTAGGCATTGCTAAATGCATTTTATTATTATTAAAAATGACCATCATATAACTAAATCATAACTATTAATGACAGTACTATTATCTGTTACTACTAGTAATGCATTATATATCAATTAGGGTATTTTGATCTTTTTTCTTTAAACAATAATTAGTTCATTTAACCATAGATCATTTTTTGAAGGAAACTAATAAAATTCTTTTTAATGAATGAATGAGTGAAACGAAATAAATCAACGATTCTAGTTACATTACTCAAGGATCCTTATATCTTTTCATTAACCCTTCTATTTTTTAAAAAATTAGTAGTAATAATAATAATAATAATAATAATAATAATAATAATAATAATAATAATAACAACAGCAACAATAATAATGATACATTAAATAACAACACTCCACTGTTACGGACTTTAAAATAATCTAGTATGTAATAGTTGGTTGGTACTTGTATATTTTCAAAGACGGCATTTTTGATTAATTTAGTGAAAAACATGCACACTCTCTATAGTTCTTCTTGATTGTCTTGACAAATTAGCACTGTTAAGTGAGAAAAAGTAATGAATGCAATGCAATTTTGAATGCTCAACTGTGTACAAATGTATACCGATACGGTGTTTTTCCAATTGCATTGCAGAATGAAAAATTTTGAGATACGGCTTTATTTAGAAAACATTTGATTATTTTCATAAAGACAGGGGTAGTTGATATTATTATTATTATTATGTTTATATTTATTGGTTAATTTAATAATAAACAGATCATGGTCATGTGATAGATACTTCGTATTTTGAAATAAAAATTGTAAAAAAAAAATAAAATGCCTCCAAAATCAAAAAAGAAAAAGAAACCCGCTAATCCAGCACGTGGATTTGCTACAAAAAGTACTCCCTCAAAAATAAAAGATACAGAAACAACTGATGACAATGAATCAATTAATAAAACTAATGAAGAAGAAAATTTGCCAATGGTAGTTGAAAGTGTTAATGATCAGGAGGCTATAGAAGAAGAAGATAAAGAAGACAAATTTTTGATTTCATTGATAGACAAGTTAAAACACATTGATGAAAAGAAAGTTGATAGATATTTCAAAGAATTATCATCATTATCATCAATCGAATTGAATAATTTTGACGATTGGCCAATTTTGAGCCTTGATTCAAATATTGAACATAAAATTATTGAGCATTTACAAAAAGTAGAAAATCATGGTAAATAAAAACAATATTGGTAAATAATGAATTAATTAATTGATAGGTTATTCGCTGATTAATTATTAATTATTGGTAGATTATGATTATGATTATGATTATAGTTATAATTATTATATACAAGAGGATTACGTTAATACTAATGATGTGGAAATTAGATCAACAAAAGATTATGAGCGAATGATTTCTGAATTAGACATAGTTTATATGACATTATTACGCCTTGGATTCAAACAAATTGACATTGAGAAATGTATCAAAACATTAGGAAAAAGAACAAAGTTAAGTCCTGCTTTAGATTGGGTTTGTAAATATTAATATTAATTTTATAATTTATAATTAACGATTCTTTTGATCAGGAAGATAATTAATCCAATTTTTTTCTTTATAAAATAGTTGTGTATAAATATTCCTTCCGATTTTTTGCCAATTGGATTTGTTGATAAATTTTATTATACTGAAGGTAGATTATATAAATCATATACAATTGTAAATTTATAACATGTACCTATTTATAAATTAAATAGTTAATTTAAGAAATATGTATTTCTTTTATTTTTATTAGAAATGAATGTTAATTCAACAAATTTTGATAATTTATTAAGTGAAAAAACACAAGAGGATGATGATGATAATGAGAAATTGTTGACAGAAATGAATCTTAATAATAACAAACATTCAAATAAGCTGAAGCATAAAAATCTATCAAATCCTTCATATGATTATAACAAAGAAGTTGGTAAATTAATTAAATCACGAATTTTGAATACAGTTAAATATAATGTAATAATAATAATAATAATAATAATAATAATAATAATAATAATGATTCTTGTGATTGAAAAAAAAATATATCGTATTAATCAATTTCAATATATTAATTCATTCAAATGTTAATCCAAATTGCATATTGAAAAAATCAAGGAAGAATCAGATGATCCAAATGTTTTATATGCAGAATTTAAATATGAATTAATTATTCAACAAAAATATTTAAAAACATTGAATAAATCATCAGAAGTTGGTTCTCAAAAGGAAATACAGGAAATGAAAGAATTGATCAACAAAATCAATAAAACAATTCAGGAAATAAATTCACAAATTAATTTAGTAAAAGAAGATTATTTCTTTTCTCTAAATGAGGCAGAGAAATTATTTAATGAATTGAACGCCAGAAAGAATTTGGACCAAGAAGTCGAACAATTATTTCAAATGTATAATTTCAAATTCACTGAAGATAAGGAGGAGGAGGCGGAAAGAGAAAAAATGAAAAAAGCAGAAGCAAGCTCAGAAGAAGTGGAGGTGGGAGATGAAGAAATTAAAGCAGAAAAGGATGTTAATGATGATGATGAATTACATTTTGATGATTTACTAAATAATCATGAGTCTAATGATTTATTTGATGATATTGGTGACAATGAAAATCTTTTATCAGGATTGTTAGAAATTCCAACTAATAATAATCAACAAAATAACAATATTAATTTACCAAACAACATAGTAAGTAAACTACGTGATATGTCATATTCAAATTGGGTTGGCCAATCACCAAAAGAAATTTTATCAGAATTTTGTAGGAAGAAAGATCGTAATGTTAAAATTTCATTTGGATCAATTCCAAATAATAACAGTAGTATTCAGAAGGCTTTTGTGAAAATTGATTGGAGTAACACTAAAGATTCAAATTTTTTTTCAATGAAAGATAGAGAAGAAGGATGTAGGACAAAAGATGAAGCATTTAATTATGTATCAACATTGGCATTAATAGAATTGACTAATAATCAACCTTTATATTTGAGATTACCCATACCATATAAAGAACTCTGGTTAGAAATTGTTAATGATAAAGAGTTATCAATTCGTAATAGTAAATATGCAATTGAAAAAGAACGAATGAAATTTTTGGTATCAGTGTTGGATGATAACAATAATAATAAAGCTAAATCATCCAGTATAAATTATGATATTATTAAGGATAATAAAGACAGTAATGTCGAAATTTCAGCTTTAAATTATTTAAAGACAAAGTCTAATATTATTACTCAAGTAGGAATTAGTATGAGACAAGAATTTATTGAGAGGAGGAAAAAAAATTATAAAATATATGAGAGAATTAATTCTGATCGACAGAAGCTTCCCATTTACAAATATCGTAATGAAATATTGAAGAAAATTGAAGAAAATCAAGTGGTGATTATATGTGGTGAAACTGGTTGTGGAAAAAGTACTCAAGTTCCTCAACTCATTGTAGAAGATATGATATTAAATGATTACGGAGATAAGTGTCAAGTCTTATGTACCCAGGTATTCTACCAATGATGATATTATTATTATTATTAGAATAATTATTAGACTTTAGAATTAATATATACATGCACATATATATTTGATTTTTAGCCACGTCGAATTTCAGCAATTTCAATTTCTACAAGAGTTTCATATGAATTGGGCGATCCACCAAATTCAATTGGCACTAATAGATCATTAGTTGGATATCAAATTCGATTGGAATCACGTACATCAAAGTCAAATGTATTGAAATTTTGTACAAATGTAGGTAATTTCCTTTATTATATGTTTAAATTTATTTATAAGCAATGTTTGTAATAAAAATAATATTATTACTATTAACAATAGGGAATATTATTGAGAAAATTTGAAAATGATAGATTATTGGTGGGTGTGAGTCATGTAATTATTGATGAAGTACATGAAAGAAGCCTGGAATCGGATTTCTTATTGATCATTCTTAAAAATTTATTGACAAGGAGACCAGATCTAAAAATTATACTGATGAGTGCAACAGTTGAGTCAAATAAATTTTCTCAATATTTTCATCAATGTCCAATAATTGAAGTTCCTGGTAGAACATTCCCCGTTAAAGTCAAGTACTTAGAAGATATTATTGAAGCAACAAAGTATACACTGGATGAGGACGATGAATTTGCAAAGAAGGCTGATAAGTCATTGATATTAGCTGATAATGAAAATGCAATTATTAATATTGGAAGAAAAAAAAATAAATCAAAAACGGTTAAGATACAAATGGAAGATTTTGAAGATGGAAAAGAATATTCCGATAGTTTGTCAATTCCAGATGAAGCATTGGAATCTTATTCAACACATACTATACAAATGCTTAATCGTATAGATGAATATCTTATAAATTATGATCTTATAATAATTATTCTGAAATATATTTGTATTAACAGTAGTGGTGATAATTCTGAAAATTTAAATATAAATATCGAGTCAAAAGAAGAAATGCCTTTAGACGGTTCAATATTGATATTTTTACCAGGAATGCCAGAAATAAGAAGATTGCATGATCAACTTATTTCTGAAAGATATTTTAATGATGAAAACAAATTTCTAATTTATCCCTTACATTCATTGATTTCATCAGAGAATCAAGGAATGGTATTTGAAGATGCACCAAACGGAGTAAGAAAAATAATTTTATCTACTAATATTGCAGAGACAGGAATAACAATACCAGATGTTACAATTGTTATTGATACCGGTAAAGTCAATCGAGTCAGGTAACTAATAAAATATATTTGGTGATGATAATTATAATTATTATAAGTTTTTTTGATGTTATTAATAAATAAGTTCATGAAATAATAAATATATTTAGGTACAATGAATCAAAAAAAATTACAAATTTACAAGAAATGTTTATATCAAAAGCCAATGCAAAGCAAAGAAGAGGTAGAGCTGGTAGGGTAAAGGAGGGATTGTGCTTTCATTTATTTACAAAATGGAGATTTGAATACAAGGTACACACATATGTTATAAAATATTATATATGTTACATATATATAATAAGCATTTATATAATTTATAAACAATTTTTTAGATGAGTGATTATGAATTACCAGAAATTATGAGATTACCACTACAAGATTTATGTCTTAAAATTAAAGTTTGTGGGTTAGGAAATATTTCTGATGTATTGTCAGAAGCATTAGATAAACCAAATGAATTAGCAATACAAAATGCAATATCAACTTTACAAGAGGTGAATTTATATACAGCAATTTATAATTTGTTAGTAATTAACATTTTAATTAATGTTTTAATTAATAATAGGTACAAGCATTGACATCTGATGAAAAACTGACACCACTTGGAACACATTTATCACATTTACCAGTTGATGTGCATATTGGCAAAATGTTGTTGTTTGGATCAATATTTAAATGTCTGGATCCAATATTAACAATTGCATCAATACTAAGTCATAAAAGTCCATTTTCTACACCATTTGGTAGAGAATCAGAGGCTGACAAAGCTAAAAGCAAATTCAACGATTCCAATTCTGATTTACTGACAATGTACAAAGCTTACATTAAATGGAGAGAATATTATGAGAAGTTTGGTGGATTTTCAAATGAAACTAGAGATTTTTGTCATAAAAATTTTTTAAATATTCAAAATTTGATGACGATTGAAGATCTTAAAAAACAATTTTTGAGTTTGTTGGTTGACATTGGATTTGTTAGATTTGAACAAAATGCGGATTTGAAATTTTTGAGCAGGTAAATAATTAATCATTAGCGTTATTTATTTATTTATTATGATTTATTTACAAATTATTATTTTTTTTTTTTTACAAAAAATTTAGAAATAATCGTAAACTTTGTAAAATGCCATTAAATTACAATGCACAATCCAACTCATACTCAATTATCAATGCAGCAATAGTTGCAGGATTATATCCAAAAATCTTATATTATAATTCAAAAAACAAAGAATTAATCACCATAATAAACAACGACCAAAAACTTGTCAATATTCATCCATCTTCCATAAATTTCCATACCATTAGAACATCGTCCAATTCTACGATTGCCAGTAAATTTTTTGTATACAATACAATGATAAAAACAAATAAAGTTTATGTTAGAGATACAAGTGCATTTGATGTCATTGATCTAGTATTATTTAGCAAAGAGATTAAAATAAAGGTAAATTTATTATATTTTTCTATGTGTGAATTAATGTTTTTTATTAATTAATTGGTTGGTTGGTGGAATAACAATATATTTGTTATTTAAATAGCATGAAAAGAAAGCATTAATATTAGACAAATTCATAAAATTACAATGTCCTGCAAAAACTGCTTCATTATTAAAATATCTAAGATTTCAATTGGTATGTCACTAATTAATTAATTAATTTTCTTTATTATTAATTCATAATTATTTTAATTATTTTATTAATTTTTTTCTTGGATTAGAATAAAATTTTAAAATATCGAATTGATTATCCGGCAGCAGAATTAAATTCTGAACAAGAACAATGGCTAGATTTGACTCTGGATGTTATAAAATCTACTGAAGCAGAAAATTAGCATAAATATGCATGAAGATTATAAATAAAAAATTGTTTTCTTTAAAATTCTATTTTGTTAATACAATGAGCCTGGTTTTAGTGCAAGGTCTTGAATAGCTTATACTGTGATTACTTGTTTTTTTTTTTCTGCTAAGCTTGTAAATCATGTGATTGAAATAATTCAATAATAACAAGAGCTCACTAAGTTATAACAGACAAGCCAATAGGTAAACATGGGTCACCATCCATAGCGACAACAGGTAGTGACTAGTTTATTCTTTTGTTGCCATCAAAGGCCGAATATTCCATTTTGTATCCCCATCTTTATAATTCAGTATCAAGCCCAGCGTTAGATGGGTTCAGAGAACCATTTTCAAAATTAGGGGTTTGGCACCGTTAGTCGTTTAACTGCGGTTAACCGGTTAAAGAGTTTTTGCGCGGTGCCAACCTCTATTCTAAACATATCAACCCTGTTGTTAAACCAAAATCCACCCCGTTAAAACCACAATTTACTAATATTAATTTTGAACGGAATAACGGGTTGACTATGTGGTTTGTAGCCTAGTACTAGGCCCTATGATCAATAAATAGAAAACATGAAATTTTGCATGCATATTCTACAGGATAGGCTACAAGCTAAATGTTTTTATGTACTTATTATGTGTAATTGATAACTTGGGTTCTTCGAAATTTTGCTGTAGTGTACCAAATCTATTTGTTTGTTTGTTTGTTTATTGATTTTAATATTAATATTAATATTAATCCATGGTTTCTATTCATAATAGTAATAATAGTAATTGTTTATCATAAGAGTGGTGGTGGTCGCCACTCGTCGTCGCTCTAGTTGAATTTTAAAATTTTACCTGACGAAATGTTACAAGTGAGGAAAATTAAATTTTTTTGAATGATGGACAAAATGATTATAGGACTGTTATTAATATTACAATGTTCCTGTTTTAAATAATTTCCTCTATTTTCCGATAAAAAAACAACTGTCAACAACTTCACTTTCTGTTCTGAAGAAAGTGTGTCACATCCAATACAATAATTCATTTGCTAAACGAGCTGCATTTCTGTTGAAACTTTTTGGGACAGTACAAACATTTAACAGGAAAATGACCTTAATAGGCTCTTTGGTAAAATGTAGATGCTGGTCTTCATAGTTAAGAAGACAAATCATAAATTGAAGCTGGCCATCATCCAATATTTCAATGAATATAAATTTATTATTTTAATTAATTTATATTTTTATCTTTTCCCTCATTTTCTTCTTTTCGTCAACATTTGCACTGATTTTGTTTGATCCCCAAAATTCAATACGGTATGATCATAACGTTATGAATACTTTATACCAGCAAAAACCCATTGGTTTTGAGGTGGTGCCATTGGTTTGACGGCTGTTGAATAATAAAATAGTTTTTTTTTTAGCGGAGCAAATAAATTTTTTTAGGGTTAATTATCATTCTACTGACCGGTTTACACATTAAAAATACTCGTGTTTAACATAGAGACACAACAAGACATAAGGTTTGAAAAAAGGCCCAAAAAACCAAATCGGCTGATATGATGTGACGAAATTAACAACAATTTAACGAGATAATTTCTCGCTCACACATTTCGTCAGGTATCATTATGTACAACACATTCAAAAGCTTATCGGGGAATCTTCGAGTTAGTGTTGGTTTCCAAAACTCGAGAGTTTCGCAACCGTGCGAAAGTCAAAAGGTTTCGCCATAAGTCGAAACTAGTTTTGATTTTTGACTATTGACTTTTGATTTAGTTTTGAGATATAACTTTTAATTTTAGTTTTGACTTTCACCTCTTCAAAATAGTTTTGGCGACCAACACTACTTCGAGTAAAGAATACTTATCTTTCCAAATAAGTTGACAATAATATCTGAATATTATTTCTTTGTATTAATATGAATGAACATAAAAATAACTATGCTAGTTGATTAGATATTAAAATTAATTTCGGCTACTATTTCGAATTCGTACCGAACACTTTTTTAAAATATCTCTTTATATTTACAATAAAATTGGACTTGTTATTAAAGTAAAACGAAACTACTACATTAAAGCTTTCTAAAGAATACTTTTCATATTGAAAGGTCTTCTTCTCTACGTGAATTCACAGCTATTCAAAAACGGTATTACTTTTTCACTTCAAAGCTCAGATTATTTCTCAATTTCTCTTTAAAAGCCCTGATGGTAAATGAGAAGGTGTAGAATACTTTGAGCTTTCATATGGTTATTACTTTATGGAGTGTGTTGGTTAATAAGTTTAGAGAGGCTCACGAAAACTTTTTTATAGAAATTTAGATTAATATTGTTTTATAAATTGTCTTTAACATTTGCTTCGGTCACGCCTATACAAACTATTCATTTTGCGAATTTCATAGATCTTGATTAACACTTGTTTCGATCAAACCCAAATAGTTTTTCGTGAACCTCTCTAAAACTTATTATGAAAGTTTAAAGTATTCTACACCTTGCCTGTTACTATCAAAGCGATATTGAAAAATAATCTCAGCTTTAAAGCAAAAACGGTATACCATTTTTGAATAGCCGTGGATTTATGTAGAGAAGACTCTTCAACATGAAAAGGCATTTATTAAAAAGCTTTCATGAAGTAATTTCATTTTACTTTATGATGGAATTCGAGTTTGTTATAAAAATAATGTGGTATTTTTGAAAAAAGTCCAGTTACATAAGTTGAAAATCCATTCAATAAAAAATAAAGTGATATGGGTCATTTTTCCCCAACGAAGACGATCTCGTTTAACAATTCATCTTTTTTGACCATCTTATGATGAATTCGCTTTATTTTGAGGGCCAATAAACGTCAGCCAGCTTTAGTGGTTATGATAATTTATAGTTCATCAAGAACATAATATAGTAAAAAACTTAGTATATTTTAAATAATTCATATCTTTACTATTATTTTAAGAGAGAAAGATTCGTATAATTACAATTTAATAATTTTTTAATTTCAAAAGTATAAATTATAATGATTGTATTTTTAGTATATGTTTAGGTAAAGTTGTTGTCGTAAAAAAAATACGTAAATTCGAAATTCGTTAATATTATTAATATTAAGAGGATAGTAGAATTAACAATAATAATAATAATAATAATAATAATAACATGATTTTGGATTTTCCCAAATTTCACAAATATTCACTGTAAATATTTCGTAGTTCACTTTGAAACAAATTGATATATAAGCTCGAATTTAATATCTCTTCACCTCTTAAGAAGAAATGACTTAGATGGCTGTAAGAACTCATCCCAATCACAAATTACCTTTAATTCATTTATTAATTTGTTTAATTAAACAGTGGAGACAATTGATGTTATTGCCATTTGGAATATATTTCTTTTTTATGAAACTAATTTCGAAAAGAAAAAAATTTGGTACAATAATAAAATTCAGATTTTAAAATTATCTGTTATGCAGGGATGATCTGGCATAATAATACGGGTATTCCTGGATCAACTTTGAGCAGAAAATTTCCTAGTACTAGCTGTTTCCACATTTATCTTTGGCACTGATCTACATAATAAATTTATGCATAATTAATATAAATAATTATTAAAATGTCAACTCATGAAAGGCATTATTTCTAAATATATTTCAAGAAGCAACTGGTTTAGATGGGTTTGATGAAAGTTTTGATGAAGATGAATTGCCCTTTAAATATTTTGTTGTTGTTTGTTTGTCATTACTAATAGAAGAAGTTGCCCTTTGAACTGGATAAATACCTTGTTGTTATTGTTCATCATTAATAGTGGAAGAAGCTACCCCTTGAACTGAGTAAATGCTTTGCTGTTGTTGTTTGTCATTATTAGTAGAAGAAGCTAACCTTGAACTGGGTAAATACTTTGCCATTATCATTACTAGTAGAAGCTACTTTTTGAACTGGATGAATACTTCGTCGTTGTTGAGGTTGTTGAGATTGTTTGTTGCATAGCTATTTTTTATTTTTTTTATTGTTCCTTCTGATCAGCCAATAAAAATTAGGTTTTATCGTGTAACAACAAACAGGTCATACCGAGAATTAATTGTCAAGAAAATAGAAAAAAATTTTGTAATGAATTAATTTATTAATTTAAAAGCCAATTTATTTGCATATGTATGTCTCGAACACAGAAGAAGCAATTGAGAGTAGGAATCTTAATGTTAAAATTCAATATTTTGCCATTTGATTTTATGGCTTTCTTTTTAATGTCAGAGATTCCCTGATATGTAAGAGTATATATTTAATAGGTTCTTTATAAAATGAAGAAAACCCAATGCAACTTTATAAAATCAGAGTCTCATGCCCCACTTTTGATTCCTCATTCTGCAGAATCTGGGTTGGGATTAACCTGCACCTACAAAAAGAATATTTTAATAATAATGGTAAGTTTTGGAGAATCAAATTAAATAAATGTCAGAAATTAAAAAGTCTTTGACAAGGGTGAATAGAATCTGATTGAGTGATAGTAATGATGACTAGGAGCCATCACATTAACTATAGTTGCACGATTAAATCAAGGCGACAAAGGAATGTCATAGGAGAGAAGGCCTGATCTGTATGTTTTATTATTTGAGTTGATTAGATTAAATTTGTATTTATTTAATCCTCTTCCTCATCTTCAAGCTCTACCACTATTACTGTAAGTATATCACATTCTTTTGGTTTATCTTTTTTTGTAATGGGTTAAAAGTATCAATTTCTATCACCATCTTCTTCATGTGTAATTTCTTTGAATGAGCAAAACAGATTTTTAATTTGTTCTTTTTTTGTAGAAATAAAACCTGCCACTACAAATAGGTATATACTTTTTTTAAAAGAAGAAATTAGTTCAATGACAGATGAGATTGGTAAAATTATCTCGTGAAGAAATAGAAAAAAGATGAAGGAATGAAAAGAAGAAACTTTGGATAGTAGAAGGCTTAAATTGATATTATGAATATGATCGTAAGCGAAGGAGATGATGATAGTAACAAACCACTACATATTCCCATTATTGAAGTGCTACGTAATTAATGACAGATTGAAAGATTTATTCTTTTTATGACTTGTATGTGTTTTCCTATTATTATGATAAAATAATACATGTGTTTGATCACGATAAAGGAAGAATTGGAAAAATTTGCCATAAGATCCTCCGCAATAATACTCAAGACATAATAAAACTTGCAATCTGAAGATTTACTAGGCGGGTGAGAGTTAAACATATTTCTGGTCTCGTATATGGAGAAATTAGAAATTATTCCTTGAGAATGTAATCTAGTTATTATTCATCATATTAAATACAATTTTAAATTTATTAGAAAGTCCTTATATAAATCAACCTAATAATAATATATTTCTGAGAGATTTTTTGATTTTGTACTTTCGATAGTCGTACGATTGCAACCAACTCATCATCATAATAATAAGTTTTACAAGATCTGAATCCCAAGTTTTTATGATTCGAAACATTAACGATGTCCCTGATTTTTACATATTAATGAGCAAATTATTAATTATCTATTTTGAGCATTATTTATTTGTTTGGCATGTTTATTATGGATAAACCATATTATTTTTAAAGGAATTGTTTATAAATTGTATTTTAATATAAGGAATAAAATTCTCAAAAAAAATTCAACTGTTTAAAACTGTGGTGAAACCAAATTGAACCCCCTATTCTTGGTTACACTTTAAAATTTTTCTTGTAACTATTTAGAAATAAACTTTTAAAAACAAAAACAAAAACAAAAACAGTCAATATACAATGATACTATTAATTTTCATTCGAATATATTACATCATCATGACTTTAATTTTTCTAATATATGATAAAACATTGAATGTGTTACATGCCACCATTTTACAGTATGGTAGGATTGATTCTAATAATCAAAAGAATAATCAGGATCAGAAGAAGGGATTAAATAAAATTGAACAATATTTTACAACATTAACCTTACCAAAAAAATGGTTTAAATATTTTTATTCATTTGGCACAATATGGATTAGTTTAATAATACTAGAAATTTTGATTTTGCCAGCAACTACAACTACATCAGGAGTAAATAATTATGTTAATCTATTTTCAAAAATGGTCAATTTTATTGATTATGAATTACCAATGAAATTTTCATGGGTAAATTACTTGGAAGAAGAAGAAGAATATAATTATTATAAGAAACAGCCATTGTCTGAAACTATATTGGCAATGATAATGATTGAAATACAGGTTTTGCGTAGATTCTATGAAAGTTATTTCATAGAGAGACCATCCGATACATCCAAATTCCATTGTTTATATTTTATCGCAGGGATATCGTATTATTATATTACTGGGATGGCAGTTTGGATTGAAGGAATGGATCATTTTAATATTCATAATAATAATAAAAAAGGCGATGACGTGTGGACAAAAGAAGGTAATTGATTGGTTGTTGATTAGTTAACTGATAAATAAATAACTGGGAAAAATAATTAAATTAAATTTATTTTTATAGTTGAATTTGTGGACTTTTTTTCTTGGAACATAATTTTAGCTTTAACATTATTTATTTATGGATCATACCATCAAAATATTTTACATCGTATACTTGCTTCATTACGTTCCAATCAAAACCACTCAACTTACTCAGTTCCTAAAGGAGATTGGTTTAATTATATTTCATCACCTCATTATTTCGCTGAAATATTAATTTATGTGAGTTTTGTAATATTGACAAAAGGTCTTATAATAACCAATTGGATAATATTGATATGGGTAGTGGTGGCGTTAAGTTCTGTAGCTAAAGAGAATGAGAAATGGGGTAGAGAGAGATTTGGTGAAAAATGGCCAACAAATAGATGGAAAATTTTGCCATTGATCTATTAGCTTCTAGAAAATGAAGAGTAACGTTGATTTTTTTCTTGTTGGAGAAATAAGTAGTTTCGTGTAACTTTGTCATAAATATTACGGTATCTACTGATTATTTATTATTTGTTTAGTTTAATAAAATTTTTTAGCCCTCTTTCTTCTTCTTTGTCTCATTCTCACACACGTTATAGTATTTTTTATTTGTTTATTTGTTTATTTGTTTATTTTCTTTGCCGTTTCCTTTTAGCCAAATTATCCTAAAAAATAAAATTGATTAAATTTTATTAATAATTTTTGTTACATGTGACAAAATGATTATTCATATGAATTTATTCACTATTTAATAGAACTATTTTATAAATTAAATGGTTCGGAGAAATTTATTATTATTATAATTGCCATTATCTGTATAAAAAATTAACATTAAAACGTAATCTTTATTAAAATCTCCTGATTGATTCTATCTATATCTCTATCTCTCTCCTCTTTTCTTCACACGCACACACATACATACGCGCATATATTAACGCTATATATATTAATAATACATATTTCACGGTAATTGCAATTGGCTTGATTTTTACTTGATTTAAATTTTAAATTTTTTTGCCATAATTGCAATTACTATTATTATCTATATTTTTTTTTATATCCATTGTTTTTCAGAATTTCTGCGAATTAAATTATATATGTATATATTATATAATATTATTTATATTGTTTTATTATCTTTACAATAAAAAAACAAATTGTAACACACGCAGGCGTTCATTTTTACAAATGATACTAATACAATTTGAAAAATCAACGGAAAAGTTATTCAAAACAAAAAACTCCAATTAGCATGTGTGATGATGTATATTTTATTATATTATTATCGGTAAATTATTTTTTCAATAAAATGATAATAATATATACAGGTTATAATAGTGATAATAAATATAAGAAGAGATTACTCGGAATGTATTCTTAAAAAATTAGAGAAAAAAAATTCTAAAAAAAATTATAAAAAAAAAAATTCAAAAAAAATAAAACCGAATGGAAATCCAAACGTTAAAAAAACTTTCAATAATTTTACTGGTTTGGATATTTTTTCCAATTTCATCGTTAATAATTCGTAACTATCAATCATAATTTTTCATTATAATCATTTTTTTAAAAAATTTAATCCAATATTCATATTATATTTTATTTCATATAGTTTTTGGATATTCGATATGTTGGGCATTTTATTTATTATATGGTAATTTAACTCAAATTATATATATATATATATATCCATAGTTGTAATTATAATTCTAGTTAGTTTGTTTAATTATTTTCTAACTCCTTATATTTTCTTTCTCGCTTTCTTACTTTCCCCTCATCCTAGCACAAACCGATGCACCAGTATCTCAACCAATTGTTCCTTTCAATCCTAAAAGAGTTTATAAAGTTGCCCGTTACGTCATAAATAGTTTCTATGAGAATGTAACGGGTCCATTCCTACCCTCAATAATCCAATATGGTTGGCATAAATTATCAAGCGAACGAATTGAATCTTTTACAGCGTAAGCGAATAATAGATTTTACTAATCGATGGATTATATAATTCATTATCTCCAATTTCATCCACTAACATCTCTCTCTTAAATTTCACTCTAATAATAGAAAAAATATTATATACGGTCCAAGACCAAGAAATCGTTTGGATGTTTATGTTCCAAATAGACTCTCAACGACAACACTTAAAGGTCATCATGAAGAAAATTTATTGTTTGCAAATAATAATAATGAATCTCCTGTTATAATATTTATTGGCAATTCTTGGAATTCTGGAAACAAGGCGACTTGTATGCCATTTGCAAATAATCTTCAAAATCAAGGTTATGTGGTGGTAGTTCCTGATATCACTTTATATCCACAAGTAAATATTTAATTCTAAAGAAAAAAAAATATATTTATAAATATAAATAAGAATGTAGACTTATTTATTTATAATTGTTGTTTTAGGGTAAAATTTCAGAGATGGTATCAGATGTACAAAATTGTATTTATTGGACACATTCTCATATCAGGTAATTGTCATACTTGTTTCTTTCCAGTTTAAATTTCTAATTAAACTATCTAAAATCAATCCAATGATCAATTCAATATATATATATATATATTTTTTAAAAAAAGGCAATATAAAGGAGATCCATCACAAATTTATTTGATGGGACATTCAGCCGGTGCTCTCATTTCTGCTTTAACTGTGGTCCATAATATTTGTGCTACTTTACATGTCCTGCCATTCAACAACTCAAGTATACATCTTCCTGTGTTTAATAATAATCCATTTAAAAGATCCGAACTACCAAGAATTGCTGGTTTAATGTTGTAAGTAAAATTTTATTATAATAATGATCTTATTTATTTATTATAAGATATTTAGTTGATAATGTATTAATTAATTATCAATTACTGTAATTTTGTAGATTTTCTGGAGTTTATGATGTGACTTATTATTATGCATATTTACATAATATGGGACTTGAACAAGTTCATGCTATGCCAAGAGTCATGGGTAATTAATCAATATCAATTATAATGATGTTTAATATTATTCTGTTTTAAAAATATAAAACAAAAAAATTTATTTTCGCCAACATCATCGCATTATTGTTAGGGAACACATCTGAATCTTTTCTTCAATGCTCTCCAACTTATTTACTAAGTAAACTATTATCTCGTCATGATCTTCGAGAACAAGTTAAAATGATGTTACCAAAAAGAGTAGTTTTAATTCATGGTGAAAATGTAAATAATAATACTTATTACTATTTGAATAATCATTTTCTACATATCTATTCGCCAATTAATTAACTAATTATAATTCCTGTTTTTGATATCAACATTGACATTCCACAGGACAAATTTACTCCAACAACATCAACTAAGAACTTTTTCCAACTTTTAGATTCAATAGGGATGGGTACTTCATTCGTTCAATTAAAAATCTATAAAGATCTTAAATATGTAAGTCCACTTACCGACTTAATTGTTCCGACGAAAAGGTTGTGTGTTCTATTATTAGAAGATGTTAAAGAATGTTGCAAGGGCAATTTGGGTATGGTGATGATGGGTGGAAGATTATCCGAAAAGAAAAATAGTGACAACGATGACGAAGAAGAGGATAAAGGGTTTGGCGAAGAAGAATTAGATTTCATTGATAAACTTTACAATGAAAAATCAACAAAAAAACATCGTCATAGAAAGAAACTCAATAACAACAACAATAACAACAACAATAACAACAATAACAACAATAACAACAATAATAACAATAGTAATAATAGAATAAATCCTATTAACTACAATAATAACAATCTTAATAATAATAATGCTGTTAATAGTAATAGTGGTGGTAACAGTGATAGAAAACGTAGTAACAGTCATTACCGTCGTCATCAAAGTCATCAAAATACTGGGAATAATAGTGGAGATAGTAGTAGTGGTGGCAGCAGTGGTGGTAATGGTAATGTTACTAGACATCATCGTCATCGTAGTAATTCTACGAAACGTCATTAATCTTTAAATATAATCTAGAACTAAATTTAATATTAATTTTTAAACCTAATTTTCATTAAAATTTTTTTAATATAATATAAATTTTTAGATTTTTTATTTTTCGTTTTTTATTTTTGTATATAATTATAATTATCCCCAAAAGTATTAATTATTACATACACTTTATATATATATACACATATATTACATAACATATTAATTAATTGACAATAAAACTCAAATTTTTCAAGTGAAAGATTCTAATTTGCTTTTACATGTGAAAAGGTTTATAATGAAAAGGAAGTGAGTAATGCGATGGAAACTGATATCAAACTTATTATCTTGAACTTCGATGGGTCGTTTAACAGTTTCTTTTAAAATTTATTATTATAGAGTTTTTTTCCTATCGATTTTAACAGATGATAGATACCCTTTTCATACTTGTTACGAGCAGAGCCATTATTAAAAAATTTATTATGATATGATTTTAGAGAGAGAGGTCAACAGTTCTATCCTAATTGAATTCATTATTTACATGCGCGTGATGTCTTTTATAAAGATAATCACGATACATGATACCAGTTTGTTAACATTTTTACAAAAAAATGTTCATTTTCAGCATATTTTAAAAATAATAAATAAAGTATAAACTTGTATATAATGAACAAGACAAATACTTGGGAGTGCGGATGAGTGTCCATATTTAAATTATCGTTGAAGGGGTCAGTGACTTTTGGGTTTTTTTAATTTACCATATGAAGGAGGCTTGGTTCAAACAAAATTGTTTCCATGTGAAAACACAAATTGAAAAAATTATAGAACTTGATTTGACTTCAAGGATGATGTCATTCTTGAAGTCGAATCATTTTTGATAAATTTGGAATTGTTGTACGTGAAAATGAAATTATGTGAATTCGCAATTCACATATGTGAAATTCAAATTTACATACGTGAAATTCAAATTAGCCAATCAGAATTTCACCCCACTCCATAATATTTCAATTTCACATACAACAGAATCATGAAAAAATGCCTATTATTATTTTAATGAAGACGAATTGACCAATGATCATAGCCACATCATTTGGAAGATTGTAATATTTGAAAGGTTGTAATTGTAATATTAAAAAAGACTCGTATTTCCAACTGAAAAGAATACAGGTGATTATTATATTTGCTGGAAAAATCATCGAGCTGTTGGTTAGAGCTCGGATCCGAATATGAATATTGGACACTTACTACTACCCACCCATAGCAAACCGGACAACCAATCCGCTTAAATAATTACATCTAATGGACTCATTTTCTTATGGTCCTCTACCTTTTTGTTTGTGCATGTATTAGTAGTTATTATTGCATAATAATGTATATCATAGATTATTTAAATTGAACCTTGATGTTTCTGTAAAAAACTTCTGTATAAATATTATTTAGAATCATAATTGTTTCTCATAAAGGGCTAATCGATGTAAGTAATGGGTTTGGATGAATCAATATATATAATGAACAAATGCACTATGGTTTCCCATATTAGTTATAAATATTTATCTGAGATGCTTACACTTTGCTCATTTTGTCACCACGATCGTTAAATGTTGAATTTCCAGCTGATAAAATTTGAGGACCTCATTTGATAATATTACAAATCCCATTCTTCAACATGACTTTTTGATCTTATATTCAAAAAGCCCGCAATCATTCAAATCAAATGACAGCAATAATCTAGCAACTCCATCATCATCAACATCAACATCATCACCACCACCATCATCATCAACATCAAAAATCACTCATAATGATGAGAATTGTGATCACAATGATCAAATAAATAACAACGTTAAATATACAGTAGAAGATATCTTTTATGGATCTGATCTTGAGATTGAGGAAGAAAGAGATCATTTTCTAAAGATATCAAAATTTGTGATGATAATAAAGATGATAATAATAACAACAAAGAAGATGGTAGTGATGGTAGACATGATAATATGATGGTGATAATAGCAGATAATGACAAGAAAAAAAACCAAATTTATAAGAAAACTAGTCAACCAGCACCACCAATAAAAAAAAACAGAAAAGAAAATATAACAAAAAGCCTCCTAATTCCACTGTCACAACTGTCACTTCCACTTCATCACAATCTGATAGGAAAAAAATTATTTTCAAATGTAGAGTTCCTGGGTGAAAAGATATTCAGCTCATCAGCAACTGTAGTAGACACTAATGTTAAAGCATCCAGAAGAAGATATTGGTGACAATGACAAAGATAACAACAGAAATGACAACAACAAATACAAAGACAACAATAAAAACAACAATAACAATAATAAAAAGAGAATTAGGAAAATAAAATAATCATAACTACAAAAATTTTTCTCTTAATGCCAAAGCATTTGAAATAATCCTCAAGACTCCTAAATTGTGGGGCGGAATATTAGTACTCATCCCAACGGCAATACCACTGGAGCCATTTAATAATAAATTAAGACTTCAAAAATTTAGTATCTTGAGCCATCATAATTTACACAAATTTAATTTTTTTATTAATATAGTTGTTGGGAGAATGAAGATTATCAGTTGATTTTAATAATTTTATTCTTTTTTAAAAGAAAAATAATTGGTGAATTTACTACTAATGTAATAATTTATTAGCAGTATCATTAAAAAGAATCAATTCACAATTATCTCCTCCTTGTGAAACTTTCATCAGGATCAAAGGCATTGGTGATGTTTGAAACCTTGAGATAGAATTTTTACTGAATCCAGATTTTGATGATAATATACCAATTGTATTTAAGGATTCATGACATAAAGTTCCCTCAAATTCTCTGACTGAACTTGATTTACATGATTGAGATAAATTTTTACATTGCCCTATTATATTAAACTTCTTATTTTCTGGTAAGAACCATTGGCCACGTAAATCTATACCTTTATCACCAGCTCCACCTACACGTCTTGAAACAATACCAAAAACATTTTCTAAACATTTAACTGTCTCATATTCATAAATAGTCCCTTTGTAAACCGTTCCTTTATGAATTTTGTTGTCTCCTTCTGCTGACTCAAATGATTTTATATAACTGTTTAAATCGTGATGTTTACCTAATCTTGATATTCTTTTTATTGGTTGTTGTTGTTGTAATTTTAAAACCTTAGGAACTATGAGTCTTTTTTTTTGATTTCTTTTGTAAGTTGAACAAGTTGAAAAAAAGAACCTTTTAATAATAAAATTAAACATTTTTGTGATTTTTTTAGGATCGTCGTTACACAAGTAAAATGAGAATTTTCACAATTTTCCTTTTTTCCTTCTATATTAAAGATGGATTCTTATAATTTACCACCGGAACTTTTGATATCAGTATTCAAATATTTTGGAGATGATTATAACACACTATATTCTTGTATTTTAGTAAATAAACAATGGAATAATATCAATATTCCCACTTTATGGAGAAATCCCTTTTAATTGGGGCATGCTGCAACAAAACCAGGCAAAGTGAACATGGGTGTTCCCAATGATTTCAGGGATCAAAATTTAGTCATTTGTAATATGATTATATAATTAACAGTTTTATAATATCCCATTTGTTACCTTAAGTGATAGATAGAATTATCCCTATATAAAAATAATTAATATGAAGTTAATTTACATCAGGTCTACCATGGAACCCAAGAATTATAGCACCATTAGAAGTATTTTGAAGAAAGAGCAAGGTGAAAAAATTGCACCTTATGTTTTCAAAATAAATGATATTCAGACACTGGAAGCTTATCTAAGGAAAGAAAGGATTATTTATGAAATTTACCAAGAAGAAAGAAAAATAATAAATGTTAGAAAAAGAAAGCATCATGATGATGCATTATTACCTAACAAAAAACAGAAATCTTTGAAAGAAGGAAATAAAATGCAATGAATCTGATTATTGCAGATCTATTTTTTTTACTGACAAAGAAAATTCTCCTTTATGCAAATGTAATTAACAATCATCAAATTGCATTGCTTATCAATAAAAAAATGTTGTTTGAGTTGTTTTAACAAATTTTACATTCAAGAGTATGTCTATGAAACTTTGTTTTTCTCTGATTGGTATTGAAACAAGGTAAACAATCCTGCCTTATGTTAGATCATTATAAAAACATCATCAGATCACTTATTATTCAGATAAAAAAAATCAAATATATAACAAAGTCTTTAATAATTGTTAAACACAATTAAAAAAATAATCAATAAATATTTATAAATTTTCATCCATAATAACATTTTAAAAAATGCTCACTTTCAATAATGAACTTTTATGTGGGTTATTGATTGGATTTTTGCTTGGATTCTTACTTCATTATAAATCAAAAAATTGATCAAACATTTGATAAAATAGAACTAAGAAAAAGCCAATTCAAAAATAAATTAAGCAAATTTACCAGTGATAAAAAATATTCACAAGAGATTGAAAATCTATGAAAGGATTCCAAACAATTATGTGATAAAAGACTGAACTGAATCCTGATTTTTCATTTAGTGAAATGGCCATTGAAATTTGTCATGAATTACTTGGAGAGGGAAAAGGTGTTGCTACTTCCACAATAAAAAACTTCCATCAATGAAAAACAAATCCTAGAAGGAAAATGATAGAAGCAATTCAGGAATGGGTCAACAAAGAAAAAAGAAAGAAGTTGAGAGTGAAGTTGAAGAAGATAATGAAAATGAAGAAAATACAAATATTAATGATAATAATAAAATAGTAGTAATAGTGAAAGTTAGATTTTTGTCAGAGTGTCCAAAGAATAGGTAATACTTACAAATGGCTTTGGGTCCGAGTATTTTCCTTGCTCTGACAATTCTCTAACTTATATTTTTATAAATTATTTATGTATTTTTCTATTATCAATTGAATTAAAATAAAAATAATTTCTTTTGTAAAAAGTACAAGTCATGTGCCCACTAATTTATCATTGGTCCAAATTATTTATAGAAACAATTAATCGATCTAAATCAATAAATAATAAAAAAAAATTTTCTATAATCTTTTTTTTTAACAATGGTGACAATTTCTGACGAAATTAAAAACCAATTCAACATTGCACTTGAAGAGCATAGAAAGGCTGATTAAGAGTTGAGGCGGTGGAGGGTGAAGTGGGAAGAGAAGTTGAACAATCTGAAGAGGGGAAGAGAGAAGGAGGATTATGGAGGCAAGAAGGAGGAGTTGGAAGAAAAGTTGAAGGAATGTGTAAACATGTGGAGCATTTACAAAAAATTTTAGTAGAATTTGAAGAAAAAGGTAATGAACAAATTATGTAAAGATTATTTTCCATTTATCCCACTCAATTTTTTTTATTTTATTTATTCAAATGGGAAATCATATATTTTAATTTTATCCTGAATCAACTTTTTAACTTTCCTGTTCATCTTTTGTCCATTAAAGAAGAATCAGGTAAGTCAATTTTTATGATGAATATTTACATTTGTGAAATGTAACTAACTTGTGCTCTTTTTTTTCTCCCCTTTTTTCTGTTGTTATTGATCATTATTCATTTTGGGAATTAATCTTTTTCATTATCTAGTTAGACAATGTAATCCATTTTATATTCTATTTGTTATTTTGATTAGCTTGTAAACTTTAAGAATTAATACTGTTTTGATATGTTGTGTTATATTTTTTTTAATAATACATCAGTACCAACAATTTACAGCAAAACAAAAATCACTGATGCTTTTCCTGAAGGTATTTATTTAACAATTCTTGCCAGAAATTTGCCCTTCTCACATTGAAGCTGACTGCACATACCATTTATCCACTAGGCTTACCTTACATTAAACCAAAGTCTTTAGTCACCTCTTCTGGTTTGAAATGGCAATATCAACTAGATCCACATTTGAAAGACACCTTACAAGAAGAAACTGAAAAGCATCACTTCCATTTCTGTAATGGTGAGAATGACAAAATAAATAGGCCGATTTATCTTTTTTTCTCTGGTGCTGGCACTGGAAAATCCAGGAATGCATCTGAATTTCATAATACATTAATCAAATGTTTGAATTGTTCAAAGGATTTGAAACTAAAGGAAAAAATTCAAGATGCTTGGGTATTTAATGTTAGCTTAGAAAATGGCATCAGCTTCTCTAGGAGTGTTGAGTCAATTGGTATTTTAGCTGTTGGAATTCGAATGTTTTGGCAACTTTTTCCTGATTTTGAGGATTTTATACATTTTATTTATACTTATGAGGCTCCAACCCCATGGGAGGTACTTCGATTGATAGCCAGGTATGAGAAAAAGACATCAGTTGTTTTAGTTGTTGATGGCCTGCAGAATTTCATCAACCTCCAACTACCCTTCAGAATGACATTGTTGTACCAGTTTTTCAACAGGACAATCACATCATTAAATTGCTTGTGGATGATTGTGGAGGACATGAAGTGCTTGCAGAAACATTGAGAGATACAAATATCAATGATTGCAACATTGATAATTTGATGCATTGTTTATGTTCTAATATTATTCATCATTATGAAGATGCTTTCAATATAACTGCTTTAGAAACACAGACTATTTATTGCATGGTTAATATTGACCAGAAAGCGTTTGGATCAAAACAAATGTGTCCCCAATACAGACAAATTACCAGACTCCTTTGTTTATGCTGGATTAATTTGATTTGAAAGAATAGGAAATAGTGTTGAGGGATATTTTGAAGCAACATACATTTGGGTCTGGATAATGGCACAGCAAGCTGCAAAAAATGGAGATCCATTACTTAAAGACTGGCAATTCTGTGATTACAGAGAGCACAGCTCAGTATCTGATTGGAGGTTGCCAGTGGGATCTCAGTTTTGGAATCATTTTGAACATTTCATTGCAAATTTTCATTCATTAAAATCTAAGGTACTATGTGAAAATGAGTTAACAACAGTTTCAGAAATTCATGCTGGAGCACGTCTACATTTGAATGATGATTTCAAATTCAAGAACCATCATCTAAAATTGGAATGTGCTATTCATCATGTGAATACAAATTTTGCTACTTATGATAAAAGAATGGATATTGAATGTGAAGGTACATGTGTCAATGTTTGGGAAGGTAAACACTGTATCATAAATGCACAATCTGCACCATATGGTGATTCTTTTCTTGCATTAGACCAATCAAAATATAATAATCCAAATGAAGTTCATCAAGCTAAAAGGTGGAAAAAAAAAAATCACTTTCTTTGAATGATTATCAAAATGAACGAAACAAATCTGCATGTGATAAAGATTTTTTTATTCTTTTTACAACTGCCCAAAACTGCAATTTTGAACTTCCAATGAACTCTGGGATTGTGGATGGCCTCAAATGGAAAGAATACTTTGGGCCATTTGCTGGTAGAGCACATGTTTATGCTATTGTAGGTCCATTGAATATAAATACTGCAACTTATACAGAGCTCATGACAATTGATGGCATTGGTGTAAGTCAAGTGGGCACAATTCTCAAAAAGCGACCATTTAAAACCCTTGAAGATGCAAAAAGGGAAACAGGTATACCAGAAAAGGCATTGAAAAGATTAAAATTTCCAGAGGAAGATTAATGTATGGCAATTAAATTCTTGTTAATTGTTCTTGTGGATATAATCTATTATATAAATCTAATATAGATATGTGATGTAGAATTTATAAGTCATAATGTATCAGCACCTTTTTTTCTCATATCATGAACTTTTAATGACATGTTATCAATTTCAAATTTGATTTTGCAATGCTTGCAAAACCATAAATTTTGATACATATAAAATCTCAAGTTCACATGAAAAACACCTCATATATCTTCACTATGCACTATTTGGAACCATTAGGTATTCTTGGATATTATTTCCTTCTTTTGTTGCTAAATTTTTTGCTAAGTGAAAAAATCAATACCAAAATAGCCTTTGAATAATATTTGAAGATCTTAATCAGCATGCTATATGCTCTTTATTGTGTCAATGTTTGGGAAGGTAAACACTGTATCATAAATGCACAATCTGCACCATATGGTGATTCTTTTCTTGCATTAGACCAATCAAAATATAATAATCCAAATGAAGTTCATCAAGCTAAAAGGTGGAAAAAAAAAAATCACTTTCTTTGAATGATTATCAAAATGAACGAAACAAATCTGCATGTGATAAAGATTTTTTTATTCTTTTTACAACTGCCCCACTGGCATTTTTTTGAAAGAATGTTTAAATTAGTTTTTGGTAAAAACAAAAAACATGCAAAAAGACCCAAACCTACTAGAATTAATGTGCTTTTAGAACTTGCCAGCTCAGGATGGAAAGAAATTGCAAAAG